ATCATATTTTGCTTCTCTCCAATACTAGTATTTCCACTGAGAGTAGCAATAATCCTACTGCTCATGACATCCATCCGCTCCTTAGGCATCTTCACAAAGTCAGGTGCTTGCAATCCCTCAAAAGGAAGGGTAGTAGTATTAACATCTGACATTTTATCAGCTTTTCTGCTCGGCATTACTGGTTTGACCGAAAGATCAGATTGATGCCAAAAAAACTCAGAAAGGTTATTGGATGTCTTCAAAGAATCGGAATCAGGAGCATATGCTGAACCTTCTTTGGTTCTTTGGTTCTTAAGTTGAGGACTAGGACTAGCACTAGGTGAAGAAGCGACCACTTCTGTACGCCCCAATGGTAATTCCTGATCATGCTTATTTGATAGACCTGAGGCATTGCTAGTAACAGCCGGTGAATAATCGGAAAGGTCTCCTCCCATAATTTGAGCCTCTTCCATCTTCCCCTGATGATTCTGATTTGATGACCTGTCGTCCTGATTGCAATTTAAATTATCAGACTCATCAGGTTCATCATGAGACTCATCTTCAACATTCTCATTAAAATCAAGCTCCATATCAGTGTTCTTAATTTCAACCTCAGAATCATTTTCGATATTGCTAGAAACGGGTCTTCTGTAATTTTCTTTATCATTCTCTCTTTGCAAGTTTAATTTTGCTATCCTTGAAAGTCTTAAAAGATTTACTCCCTTGGAAGCAGATGGAGTTTCTTTCAATTTCTTCTCCTCAACTACCCTACTAGAAACCTTCGACTGAGTTTTTTGACTTCCTGGAGTACCTTTAGCAAGTGTTTCATTTTTACTTGAGCCAAAAGCAGAATTTTCATTTGGTCTTAAAATACCCTTTGCATCTTTTTCTCGATAACTAGAAGTCCTGTTCAGTGCAAGTTTTTCACCATTTCTTTCCGACAAACAAGCTTTAGAATGTTGATCTATCATATTTGCAAAAGCTGGTTCTGGAGGTAAAGATACTGGAGTGATTGTAGTTCGCCAGAAAGCATGACCACAAAGTTCAGGCCATCGTATTCTTTCAGCTGGATCTTTTACTAGCAATGAATTAATCAAATTAACAAAAGGACGACTAGGGCTACCAGGGAGGATAGGGGTAGGATCTGAGAGGATAGATTTTACTAGTTGAGTGAATTCTCTTCCCATAAAAGGAGGCCTCCCCACAAAGCATTCATATAGGACACAGCCGAGAGCCCACATATCAGACGCGTAGGAGTGGATACCATCTTCCTTGAACAATTCAGGAGCCATATAACAGGGTGTGCCTCGTTTCGTTTGTGGCACCTAAATAAGTGCATCAAAGAAAACAGTAAGCTACTTCTTAGGGAATAATAATGTGATGGGAGTTGAGTCCAAAACTAAAAGTTCAAGCGTAAGAAGACTACTACAATAAAATGATTTTGACCTACCGATGAATTTGTTCTTGATATTTCACTAAGCTTTCTAGCTAGTTCGAAATCACATAACTGCATAACAGGACAAGAAGTAAGAAATTAAATAAAATAGTAACTACTGGAAGTGACCCAATTAAATAAAATGGGGCATAAATACCTTAACATGTCCATTTTCGTCCAGTAGAATATTTGATGGCTTCAAATCACAGTATATGATTCCTTTCGAGTGTAAGTACCTGAAATTGTTTGATTATATATAACAATACAACCAAAGAGTTTAAAAAACATACTGATACGGATACAGAAACATATAAACCAAGACTGTCTTACTGCAATGCTCTGACAAGATCACTTGCAAGATCATGAATTGAATCTTCAGGTAATTTTCCATCCTGCCACTCATCCAAAAACAAATTAATATCGTTAATTCTTTAGACTCCAAAGATTAGACATAAGCACTTTAAATCCTCTGCCCTTTTCACTATGCCAAAAGATTGAGAGAACCTTCAAACTTTAAACCTGCACACAAAATGACACAAAAGATCGTGCAGGCCAAGTGGTGTATGCAGAAACCGTTTGAAATGTGCACTCCACATACCCTAGGGCCAACCATATTCTATAGAACCGAACAGATGACTTATGAGATACGTGAACATTTGGAAGCATTGTAAATTAAACAATAAAAAGTGAACAAAATGCCCAAATCTCATATGTTGCAAGCATCACAGCCGACTCTGCAAAAGGAATTCTGTATAAAAGTAGGGTGAACTAGGCAGTGTTGTTCGTGAGCAGAAGCTTGTGTTACGTTAAGAATGGGGAAAGGCCATTTAGAAGAATTTAACTTATAATTCCACGGTGATAACACTTGATCTGTATTTTTATTGAACAGCCAAACAGGTTTCTAACGGTAGCTTGCAAAAACTATAATTCCATGTATGGGGATCAACTGTTTGATGTACCTGGCGCAGGATGCTCATGAGATCTCCTCCAACACAGTACTCTAACACCAGCCATAAGTGAGCAGACGTTTCATACCTTAAGAATGCAAAAACATGGGGCAAAATGAATGTTTAATTTGAAGTGATTGTAAATCGACAAAATTGGTCGAAGATGACTGCTTAGAAGATCCTTTTAGAAACATTGACGAGCGTTTCCAAATGTTACCAGGAGTAAAACTTGAGTACGTTTGGGTGATCAAGGGAGTGAAGTATTCTGACCTGCATTAGATGAGAAGGTAGAATATTACGTTAGAATCTATGAACAAACAGTGGACTGGCGTCTTTGATTCAATAACATATACGTAATGTCGGGCCTGGTGATATCGAGGTTCCGAAAAGCATTATTAGTGCAGATAGAAGGCAAATACAAGTATTCTTTTAGCACTAATGAGTAAAATTTAAGATGAGCATTGCATCGATTTTACACATGTAAATCAGCAGTCGCTGAAAGAATCTAGTGTTCTACTTCCATCCTAAATGTACCAAGATCTTTAATCAAATAACCGTTTGAACAGTCTACTACTTTCCAAAAAGGATAGCGGAGTTTAGCCGGCTTACTTCTTGGAGAATCTTGTTTTTCTGCGATTTATCCACGCTTTTAATCGCGGAGTACTCGATCGTCTTCTTCTTCCTTCCTTTATACACAGTCTAGGAACATCCCAAACAAAAAAAAAAAAAAAAAAAAAAAAAAA